GTAAGGAGGGGAGGCTAGACCGTCCAAATTCACAGCCTCTTTTCTTCCGGTCTTCCTGGTCTACCAAGGACCCGGCCCGCTGCAACCAGGTAGTCTGGGTCCTCCGGAGGACCCGGCCTGTCGTTTTGGACACAGTCACAGTATGGTCTAACATTTTTCAGCCGTATCACTGAGCCATTCATAACACTTCAAGCCCTCATGGATCACACAGGACCTCATAATAGAGATGTTATTTACAACTTTGACCAAAACRGCTACAACTCCATTCCTTCTCATCAAAAGATGATTGTGGGTAAAGAAATCCTGCATGAAATGTGGAAATTATTACTGTGGGAAGTGTAAAATAAAAGCCAGAGAGAAAAAAAAAACACTGAGGAGAGATTCTTGTTATGAAGAAGCGAGTTAACAAAAAAGAGACCACCTCCTACACCTCCGAGTTAACTCCTGGGAGGTGGGCGGAGGCAGTGGTAGMAACGCACAAGGAGCACCAGTCAGACGGGCTGAACTGTGCACCGGTGTCTCTCTGTCAGACCAGTTCAGCCAGCGGACAGAGGCAGCATTATCGAGCAGTGGGCCTGGCCAAGAGGGGGAACAATAGMGCCTGTGTGCCGGACCCTCGGGAGCATCCCAACAGCTGGGAGATAGGAGGTCCGTCTGTGGCTCCACTGAATGGCACATAAACTGGAACTAGTCGCTCCCCTGCTCTCTCTGGCTTTCCCAGAATCCCAGCTTCTTCTCGTTTTACTCATCTTTCTTTCCCCTTCTATCTCCGCATGCTTGGTCATTTTATCCCATGTTATCCTGCCCCTCGCCACCACCCCCACTCCACCTATGGGGTGTGTGTGTGGGGGGGGGGGAGGGGGGACAAAACAGAGAGTCAGAAAGGGCGATACTGTTCTTGGTAGCATGAGAAAGCCAGAGGCTGGCAGAGGATCAGAGCTATGTCAACAAACAAGAGAGGGCCAAAAAGTCTCTACAGGACGCTTGCCAAAAAACACTCTCTCACAAGAGCCTCAGAAACACACAGGGAGAGAAAAAAAATCAAACAGGGGGAAGTGCCAACCGTGCAGGAATTTTCATCTCTCAAAAAGGCAAAAAGTTCACAGGAAGCATGAGACAAAACGGGAGCGTGCTCAGGTTTGATGCAGGGATCCAGCAGCAGGTGATGTTCAATAAGAGGCTTCTGCTTTACTGATTGTGAATCATAAAAATTGATTTCAGGATTCGGTGGTTCTGGTTCACAGAATGCTTCAACACAAAACACCCTCAAAGCTGGAAATAAAAAAAGAGTCATCTGAAGCCAACTTTAAATCCAACCAGTACGACAAAATGTTTGCGGRAATAATATTTTACATAGCATTCGTATTTTTAAGCTCATTTGAAAAGTGTACACCTTCAGMATATTTTAGAATCAGGAATCTAAGACTTCCCTCATCAAAATGAATCTTAACTGTTATTAAATTACAAAGTCAGCAGAATTATGTAATTTCTGCATAAATCAGTCAGCAACAACTGCAAACACACCCAAGTTTGAGTCCCCCGTGTATCATTATTACATCTGACTGCCTCGGTTCGTTTGAGGCACAAGCTGACCGTATTAATCCCTAGTTGAGAGCAGCAGGCGCTGGCACCGTAACCAGTGCCGCAAATGATGATTCATGCATCATAAGCCACAAATCTGGACATTACATTTCCACTACAGGCTGTTAATATGTGCAAAACATGAAACAGGATATTCAGGATTCACTAACAGAAACTGAGCCCATTTTAACTGGGTTTAAAACAACACGCAGCAGAAATTGTTATTAATAGCGTGAATGCTGAGTCAGCATTCACTCTTTTTTTTATGCATCTTTTTTGTGATCAAACCTACTTCTGGATACTTTGTACATTTTGTACAGTTTAAGTATATCAAAACCTTCAGCTCAATCAAGAATACTATGCTATGACTAGTGATTTTTGTAACTTTTATTAATAAAATTCCCCGTAAAAATTTATACAGATTTTTTTCAATTCCTTCAAAAACATTGTTTTTAATTAGCGTCAAATGTTCTTTTTTTTGTCCTCTTCAGCTGCCTTTGTTTTTAAAACAATGTTTTAGCACTTTTAGCTACCATTTCGCAACTTTTAGCTACAGTTTTGTTATTTTTGACATAGCTACTTTTAGATTTTTAATACAGTTTTGTTAATTTCTGCTTTTAGCTATCATCCTGCCACCCTTATCATTTAGATATATTTTTCTACTCTTGGCTAACATTCTGCTGCATTTAGTTACCACAGTTATTTTAAGCTGTCATTTAGATACTTTTAACTTGTTGATACCGTTTTGCTAATTTCAGCTTTTAGCTACAATTCTGCCACTTTTAGCTTTTAGCTACCATTGTGTTACTGAAACAGTATGTTTTGCTAATGTTGGCTTTTAGTTGCCATTTTTGCTACTTTTACTTTTTAGCCACCATTCTGTTACTTTTAGGTTTTAGCTACTATTTTGTTTCTTTTAGTTTTAAGCTATGTTTTGGTAAATGTTGCTTTCAAGTACAGCTCTGCTGATTTTAGCTACTCTGTTTTAACTTGAATAAGTCAAATAAAACTTAATTCTTCAACAAATCTCAGCAGTCATTCAGGACGTAGTATTGCAATATTGCAAAAATGCAATTTAGGGTTGGGCACAATCGTATCGTGTGCAATTAATCGTCAGTAGAACATTAATCAATTATTTTTTGGCACTTGACGATTAATATGATTAATGTCCTGATGCATCTCAGTAATCCAGGTAAAAAAATCAAAAAGAAAAAAATTGTATAGGTCTTCTGGACGGGTTCTTCTCTAATGAAACGTTTCGTCTCTCCTCCAAGAGACTTCTTCAGTCTGAGAGTTTCAGGCAAAATTCAGGCTTTTAAGCACTGCCTCCATGTGACTGATACTCACATCACATGGCTATCGTTGACACCTAATTAACACTTATTGTTAACAGGGGGTGGAGTGATACTGGCAATAGCAGCACTGTAGGAGGGGGACAACTGAAAACGGAGGCCTCCACCTCTGTTTAATGATGGACGGTCTTTCTTCACAAAAATGGCTTCTTTTACTCCTCTCTCAAACCAACGTTCCTCCCTATCAAGAATGAGAACATCCTCATCTCTGAAAGAGTGACCGCTGGCCTGTAAATGAGTGAAAACTGCAGAGTTCTGGCCATTAGATGTAGCTCGTCTGTGTTGGGACATTCTTTTGAACAGTGGCTGCTTTGTTTCCCCCATGTATAACTGGTCGCAGTCCTCCTGGCACTTAACAGCATATACAACATTGCTCTGTTTGTGCCGGGGCACCGGATCTTTGGGGTGAACCAGCCTTTGCCGTAATGTGTTTTGGGGTTTGAAAGCCACTGGGACATCATGGGAAGTAATCCAAATTAAAGAAAACAAAACAACTGCCACGTTGTTCCAGAAAGCTTGGCGTCTGCTCGTGTGTGATGTGTTGTATTTCCTGTGTGGTTACACACCACACACAATGTAGGACCAAACCTGCTCTATCTATTGTTTTTCATCGTTGTGCGTGGGGTCTCAGGTTTTGAAAATGGAGGCCTCCACCTCTGTTTAATGAAAGACCGTCCATCATTAAACAGAGGTGGAGGCCTCCGTTTTCAGTTGTCTCCCTCCTACATTGCGGCTATTGCCAGTATCACTCCACCCCCTGCTAACAATAAGTGTTAATTAGGTGTCAACAATAGCCATGTGATGTGAGTATTAGTCACAYGGAGGCAGGGCTTAAAAGCCTGAATTTTGCCTGAAACTCTCAGACTGAAGAAGTCTCTTGGAGGAGAGACGAAACGTTTCATTAGAGAAGAACCCGTCCAGAAGACCTATACTATTTTTTTTAATATGATTAATGCCACCAGGGGAGATTTCTCCAGTCAGTCCGCTCAGTTCTCCTCTCCGCTTCAAATGTGTTGAACATTAAAAACAAGTTCTCTAATTTATTTATATACAGTATCAACACAATTTAAAATTGATGTATAACCTGAAGTCTGTAATTTTGACACAATTTGGAGCAGATTTTTTACGAAGAGCAAATCTTTCCCACTAAATTGGTCATGTGACCAGGATATAAGGGCGTCCAGGGACTCCAGGGTATAAATCGTCAAATTAATCGTTATCGACTAAACACCACAATTAATCGCGATTCTTTTTGTTTTTTTTTTGCCAATATTGCCCAACCCTAATGCAATTTCTACTCTTATTATTGAACCCTTGAGCTGGAATCAAGCAATGCAAATGTTCAAACTGTCCAAAAAGGATGCACAACAGTCACAGAACGACTCACTTCTTGTTGCACTTGGAAAAAAGTAGCTACAAAGAAGGTTTCAGATTCCACAAACCACGATTTTCACCGGTCAGTAAGCTACCCATCCCCCCAACATGACAGCCTGCAAACCAAGCTGGAGCACATACAGACCCTCAGACCCAATTATGATTACTCAGGGAAGTCTTTAGGCGGGGGGGGCGCTGCAGCAAACTGAAACTTCTCATCTCAAGCCGGCTGAAACTCGCAGATGATGGGAATATTACTGGATGCTTCAATCTGGATATTCAAGAGGCACTGCAGAAATCTCACCAACATGATGACATTTCTTACATGCAGCCGCAGCTGGAGCTCATGCAGATGTGCAGCWGCACGCTTGATCAATTAGCTTCATTTTTTAAAACAGTAGCAAACAAACTACTGGTACTTCTGTTTTTACATGAATGGTTGAAGCTCAAGCGTTGTGAACCCCGCCTCATTTATCACCTGTATGACTGGTTACTGTGGGAGCCACAGCAGTGTTGAATTACCTACAGACCGTTATTAGTCTGGCAGCTCCGGTTCGGGTCTAACGTTACAACATGGTGACTCGGTTCTGACTCACTCAGGGTCTAAGTTGTAGTAGAGCTAAGATGCAAACATTGAGTAAATATATCAGAGTTTAAAACGGTGGCTGTGGGGTGGTTTTGTTCAAATGTTACCTGATGAGTTTTGTGTTAAAATCCCACTTATCTTCTGTCCATTTTCACWGAGCGACAAAGCGTGCCGCCGAGTCCAAGAATTTAAATCCCCGGCTCAGATCCATGGCTGCACCGTCTCTGAAGCGCTGCTGGAAGAGGCGGCGAAGAAGAAGAACAATCCAGCCACTTTGTTTGAAGGGATTCTTCGACTGGACGCCGGTGAACGCGGCGCTAAATGTCGCCTGGTCGGAGTGAAATCAAGTTTCGCAACTTGAAACCGTTGTAGGTTTTACGTGAGCGCGACATATATGTCCTCTGTCGAAAAACATAATCAGATAAAATGCGGTTTCTGAAGAGGGAAAGGTCCCCGCAGCAGTCGGTGATAATGGTATGAACCACTCTATTGTTGAGCGCACGAGAAACCGTCCCGTGCTGCTGATGTGTGCTCGCGGACAGCGCGTGCGCCTGGAGTATTGGTTGGGATTCYAGACGGTCGTAATGAGGTGTCCAGTGGGTTACAGAGGCTGCGACACGTAAATGTATGGAAGACTTTTTCTGCCCCCAAACATATTTAACAAACATAGTCTAATGGCKTTTAGGGGTTAAATTGTTTTTAATCAGCACGAGGTTTTTGAGGATCAGTGGAAAATTCTTTCCCCAATAAGTGCTCCCCAGACCCAAAAAGTTTGTCTTCTTGATTGATTGATTGATTGATTGATTGATTGATTTTTCTTAAATCTGATGGGTCTTGCATGTAATTTCCCATTGGGATTAATAAAGTATAATCTATCTATCTATCTATCTATCTATCTATCTATCTATCTATCTATCTATCTATCTATCTATCTATCTATCTATCTATCTATCTATCTAT